CTCCTGGCGCTGGCAGTGTCAGCATCAGCGGCCGCAGCTGCTTTTTTGCAGCGCCCGGTAGATTGCTAAAGCGGTCCAGGGCCTCGCTGATGCGCGGCCAGTCCAGTGGCCGAGCAAAGCGTGCGTAGTGAGGCCCGCGCTGTCCGGACTACTTGTGTGCGTCGAAGCGCAGGTGAACCTCCAAGAGGTCGTGCAATTCATTGTTGCTCACACGAAAGGTGTGGTGTCTTGCAGCTTTGCGAAAGCGGCCACGACGTCGTTCTTGCTGCAGACTGTTTCCAAGGATTTCAGGCTCGCCGCCTGGGGATTGCCACCCCTCAGAGTCCGGCAAAGAGTTCGGCAGCGCATCAGACACTACCACTTCTTGATTCTCAACCATGGCCAGCAGGTGGTACACTAGCTCGGACCCCAGCAAGGGCGCTGTGACGTGAAAAGTCTACACTGCCACAGGGCATCCTGTTGGACCCAGTGCAAGCAACCAGGCGAGCCACTTGCTAAAGCTGCCTGGCTTGAGGATGAGGATTGCGTGTTCAAAGAGCATGCCCGTGCATTCTGCCATCTTCGGCGTGAGCCGCTGCAGGCATTCCGAGTAACCCGTCAATCGCAGGGCACTGTCAAGAAGGAAGCCCTCATCGCTCAACCCCTTGATCACCCTTCTGAAGCCCGAGACCAATGAAGCTGTGCCCTGGACAGTCCAAGGTATACATATACTCAAGCTGAATTCCATCAGAATGCGGCTGAGGGCGAGCAACAAGTCATCTTCTGCGGCCGCAAAGCACTAACTCGCAAGCAGCGCTACTGCTGAAGGAACCACGATCCAAGCGTCCGGCCAGCAGCATCCGAGAATAAGATCATCGGAATGAGGCGTTGCCAGCAAAGCACATTGCGCCCAAGGCAATCTTGTGCATGACCTGCACAAGTGACGCACAGCGCAAGGTTGTGTCCACTGCGCTGTCCAACGTAGCTGTGTGCGATAGCAAAGAACATGCCGCGCGAAAACACAGCAATTCGGAGGAAAACAAGCAGACTCCACGCAAACTGGCGAAAGACCATGCAGAACAATACCAAAGTAAACGCGCCAGACATGCGCGCCAGCAGAGCTGAACACCTTCTGAAATTGTTTATGAAAACTTTGCTGGGCGCTGACTTCATCATACTCTGCTCTTTTGGTCCCCCTTTCACCCAGAAGATGCTGCCCATGCTGCCGCACCACTTCTCCTCTACGTAGTGTGGGAACTGCGACATGTAAGCATGACTCAAGATTCCAGACACGAATACAGCCACTTCCACGAGCGGATCCGTACCCATGCGTCGAACAAGCTCCAGAAGCCTCGACAATTTCCAGAACCACTGAAGCGTTGAAAAACACAGGAAACACGCATCCAGTGAATCCGACCATCTTCCAATGGGTTCGTTGCCTTTCAGTGCTCCGGCACTCCCCAAAGTAGCCTAAGCAGCGAGTGTTGGAAAGCTGTGCATTTCAAGTAAAGCAGGGGTCCCTTTTCACCCGATTGGAAACGGGAAACACACATGTCAGCGGACAATATCTGAGTGCTCCTAGTTTTCAGTGGCAAACGAGGAGGAGACAATTCCCCCTCCCCCCCAAGTTGACTCCAGACTGCCGGATGCGTCAGATCGAACCAACACGGGGCCTTGATGTCCTCCATATCCTCTGCGATGCGATCAAAGGTCTCCTCCTGGGCACGGAAACCGAAAGGCTCAGGCGGATTGTCCAGATAATAGGGGCGGTCACTTTGACCAACAGCAGGATTGCAAAAAACTCGTAGATGTATCTAACAGCATGGCTTCTGAGGCGGCGTCACCCCCGAAATCATCTATTCCAGTCCTTTAGCTGTCCCAGAGGCATGCTCAACTTGAATGAGCTCCTAGCTTGGTCAACGCAACCGAACTGACAGTTGCCCTCACGCCCGCTGAACACTTCACGGCCTGCGCAACAGAAACAGGCGGAATCTCTTCTCCATAAACCAGCACTTGGCAACCAAATTATAATTACGCTAGCTGGACAAAGAAACGGCATCAAAATTGAGGACCCCTCAAGTTGGTGTCATGTTGGTGGCTTTGTGGAACTGCCCTTTTCCAAAGGTTTTGACACCAACGGGGGTTCCACTGCGCAATCATTCCCTCCCGCGAAATGGGGTACGTAAACGCATCATCACCTTTATATAGGTTTTACCCTAGGGTTCAGCCCCCATGAAAAGAATTGTTGTCGCAATTTAGATGATGACAATCCTTCGGCAAACAATTGTGGCTATAACCCCCATGGTTTTAATGGTTGTTTTGAACCCCAAGGGTTTAATTTCGAAGTTATGGTCCCCTGGTGGCTTGAGAGTCGTACCCATCTCAAACCAGGTAGCCTCACTTCCTGACTGCCACCAGAGAAACTTTGGCTTTCCAGACTTCAGCTTCCCTCTAACAGGGCGGCTTGGATTGGTGGCCTGCTGGAAGGACAGTTTCCCAGGAACCCTCTACAAGAACCAGGGCTTCAAATCCAAATCCAAACCACCAATCCAAACCACCAATCCAAACCACCAATCCAAACCACCAATCCAAACCACCAATTAACAGAAATCACTAGATTTCCCTTCAGGTTGCAATTTACTGGTTGTTTCCCCTCAACCTGGCACTTTTGGAGGTTTCGACAAGGGAGACTTAATGGAGGAAACTCTGGTTAAGGCAACCAACTAGGGGATGCCCAAAGACTGGTTCCAGGCCCGGCTCCTGCTCGTGCATCTTCTCAAGGGTGGCGACACCAATCTGCTCCGCCTGTGTTCATTGGGCTGTGCAGCCCTCCATCCCCGTCCCTTAGAGTGACATCCTCCAAAATTTCCCGGGACCAGGTTCGTTCTTCCTTCAGCCGTCCTTTCGTGCTTCAGATATGTAGGAAGTCAAACAGCCCAGCAATGCCAGCTGCACTCTGAGCTCCCTATATCTACCCCTTCAACATCATGCCGCCGTGCCACCAGGAGGAAACTCAACCACAAGATGAGGCCTTAACCAACTTAAGTGGGACACATGCCCATGAATTTCCATTGGGAACCTTTCAAGCGGACATACCTGCCCAACTCCCAAACCAACCTGGACGTGCATCGATCCCTTTGGCAGTCGGCTTTGAGAAAGGGGCCTATAGGCACCTTCGTGCTTACTGGAAGGACACACCACCCCATGCAAATGATGTCCACCAGACTTTCTCAGCTTTTCCCCCCCAACCAGCAAAATGTGGTCTGATTCCGGCCCGTATTTGGTGGATTCTTCAAAGATGACATACTTTCGAACACGAGATCCCTGCAAAAGGTCTCACCACTCAAACTTCGCACCAATATGAGTTTGTTCTTTATTTCCAGACACCCTTTTTCTGGGTGATGCAAAGGGAAACCAAAACGAGAAAAAACAAGAAGAAAAACAAACACATGCATGGTGAGGTCCAAAACCCTAATGCACACCTCACTCACGTGGGGTTGCCATGTCTAAGACTCCCGCCCGCACGACCATTCCCAGTGATCTCGCCAAGGAGGACTTGGACCTGACGGCCAAATTCGGCATGAAGGGCAGCTGAGTGAGAATCGTAAGCCGCTGAAACGTAGGGGATGAAAAGGGGCTAGAACCAAGAGATGAACCCTGGCACCCCTTGTCCAACAATAATGGAAGCTGCTCAAAGTGAAGCTCTTTCTCCGGGGATCAAATGGCAAGCGGGCAGAAATGAGGTGGCTTAATTCCAAGGATGGAATTTTGACAAATGGTTTTGGAAAGAGGTACAAGGGTTAACCCCCTTAAGCTTGTTTCAACATGTTTAAACTACCCATTGCTTGAGACCCCATTGGATGTTCCTTTAGTGGGTGGGTGTTTCAACAACGGTTGACCAACCCTGGTGCGTGCCACTCTACTCTGACTTCCTGAATGGAGTCAGGAAGATATGCGGAAGGCTGTATGGGTGTTACATGCACCCTTGAAGAGAAACTCTAAACGACGCCAAGCATTTACCACTGTTAGTTGACACAACTATGATTATGGGAAATGCATTTGTTTCCGTGATACCAAAGTGTGATTTCCATTCCTTGGCCCTTCATAGAACAAGGCCCCCTAACACCCACAAATGCAAAGCAAGCTAACATCATGCAACTATTTACTAGGGCATGGCATAAACCGCTCTAAATTTCAAAGTCAAAAAGTCTGAGGGTAGATGCGGGAGGCAATGTCACATCAACACTGTTGGATCCTTTAGATACCAAGCGTGTCTTTGTGTTTTGGTCGCGGGGCTCACATCAGGTCACAGCAACTGGTCATGCAGGCTGTGATTGCAACAAATTGCACCTGGACCCTCAAACTACCCATAAAACATGGAACCTCACCCCATAAACTTGGGTTGCAATAAGTCATGTTTCTGGGTATATAGTTCTTTCGGGTCCAGGACATTGTACCTATGAAAATTACTGAAAGGTGGCTGCCGCCTCTCAAAGGATCCCTCTCGCGGCTTGTCGGCTGGGTCCACAGCTCCTTTTGGGTGCTCTCGGCGATGGCCGTGGCCTTGCGGAAGTCGAAGGAGTGGATTGGCCCAAGCGTTTCTTCGCCAGCCAATCCACCCCTTCGGAAGTGGTTCCTCTGGAGCTACTGGGAATTCTCACTGGACAATGATGTGTTTCTTCCCCAACACAGCTAAAAGCTATGGGGGCTCTGCCCAAATAAGCTCCTGAGTGGTCCGGAGCGGCTCTGGGCTGGGGTTCTGGAAGGGTTCCGGGAAATCGCTGGGGATACCGCCTGGGCTTATTTCTCTGCCAGTCTTCCCAAGCAAACAATTTGAAGTCCAGGAACTCAGGAAGCGAAGAACCCCCACACCTTCCAATTGCCCGGTACGGGGGGGGGGGTCCTTTTGGTTCCCTTGGAACGCCATGCCCGAAATCCCCAACTCGGCAACAAGGGAACCTGCCCAAAATGGGGCTCCAAAAACAGACGACAACCTCGCCGAACCATACCGCCCACTTTTTGTCAGCGCTCAGCAGTCGGATACGGCTTCGCCTTTGCACTCGCCACCGCCTGTCCTTCGTGGTAGGACTTCTTTCCCACTTGCACATGCAGCGGGCTGCAAAGGTCGCAATACTCCAGAGAGACAACGTCCGTGCCTGTAGCAACTTGCACTTCTTTCTTCTTCCTCCATACCTCGTGGGCCTTGATGGGTGCGGGAATTGACCCGAAAGGTATGATTCCTTTGGCACTATGGCAACTTTGCAAAATTGAAAGGGGGCCCCTTTGACCACTCACAAAAAATGACAGCTTGAAATCTCTCCCTTGTCCATAGCCAAGATTCATTCAACCCCCCACCAAGGTGTTTTGCCCAACAAAGCACAAAGATGGTTGAGGTCGACAAAAAACAGGAGCCCTGAAAGGCACTACACTTCAAGTAGAGATCGAGTCAAGTATGCGGGAGTCTGGGGGTCCGCTCTCTATGGGAGTGAGTTGAACCAATTTTCCCCGCTGCGCGTCCGGGCGGGGGAAACCCTTGCCTTGGCTCGATCCTAGGCTATGCAAAATTAACATATAGATTCCGCCTCATATGGTGTGTCTTCTTTTGAGTGGTTGTAAAAGAAGCCAAAAGGAAACCAAAACTACCACTTCAGGGGTCCCACGACTTTGAGACATAACTCAACCTTGAAGTAAACAAATCAAATACCGGACAAACCCCCAGTTGCAATGGGGGGTTCTTGCTAGGCTTTCTCCTATGATCTAAATCTTCACGACTGATCCTCATTTGTGAGAAGGACAAAGATGTAGCCGGGTTTGAGGACCTCACCCATTGAGCAGAATGGAGCAGATGGCGAAGTGACATTCTCAAAATTACCCTGGTCTAAAGGAAAACAACCAGGTCCCAAAATTAAGATTGAGAACCATCAAACTGTCTGTTATACTAAGCGTCATCTTGAGAACCCCTCACAAGACCCCAATGAAACCCTTGTCTCGGAGCCCGTTCGTACGCCTCCTTTGGGGTGTTCCAATTGCTGCAAGCCCCGCCTTGCTCAACTGAGAGGCGAAGGTGTAGCGCGGCGCCCATCCTAAGACCTGCTGCGCCTTGCGGCTGTCGTAGATTCGATCAAAGGCATGCGGCAGTTGCCAGCCCAGGTCCTGTGGGAAAAAGGAATCTGGTTCTCAAGGCGCCCTCGAAACAGGCCCCCCCCCCCCAAACAAAGGAACTCTAGTCTGTAATTGGCTTGATTCGTCGTTACTCAGTGGGCCCCAATGGGGAAATAACCATAGGAACAAAGTTTGAGGGCTGTAGAAGGAGGAAGGACCTGTTAAAACCCAAGGCTGGGTTTACTGCGTTGCCGGAAACAGCCCTTGTGAAGTGGGATTGCCATCCTTTGACTTCATTTTGAAGGGGATTCGTTGCACAACGTGGCCCCGCAGACTCAATTTTCCACAAGAAACGCAGATGGTACCAAACCAAGCTCCCAGGCCGGCCCAAAACCGTCTCCGACCACAAAACGTTGTCACTGTTTGCGGGTTGAAAGGGAAAATAAAGGACCCTCCCAAAAAGGGCCAAAGCGACACCGTTTACTTTCTTTACACCCATTGGGGGTCATGCGCACAACGGAAGCAACGGTCCTTGTACATCTCTGCCACCTTTGCCCCACTGCACCCGCAAGCCTCGCCCATGCGCTCCAAGATCCGATGCTGGCAGGCGTCGCTGCCTCGGCATCCCTTGTTGGTTGGTTGACTTTAAAGGGGACCCCTCCCAAAAAAAGGGAAACAAGGGTACCACTGGGCGTGAAGTATCCAAAGCCGGGCCGCGCTTATGGGTGTCTCCTATCCCTTACCCGGGGTTTGAGGACGTGGCTCGCCTGACTTCGCCAAAACCTCCACATCTTCTGGGCGAAAGGGAGAAGGGGCGCTGGCAATGAAGATGCACGAGTCCACTGCCGCAGCCTGAGTGCTGAAGTAGGTGGGAATGATGGGAATTGAACAAGTCTGAACATGTTCTATATCCTTTTGCATGGGGAAAAATGATGCAATTCTAGGAAAGCCACGGTCAAAATTGATTGCTTCCCCAAGAGGACACACTAGACAATTGGTGAGTCCAGAGTGTTTGCACAATATGTTGTGAAGCGTGATATTTTGTGAGTCCATCCCAAACGAACCATAGACTTAGACTACTAAACATTTGACCAAATCTCATACTGTGGGTGGATGAAATCCAGCACCATTTGATGAAACCCTAAGTAATGGAATAACCACCTACTTCCAATCTCATACTGTGGGTGGATGAAATCCTGCACCATTTGATGAAACCCTAAGTAATGGAATAACCACCTACTTCCATTTGCTTAAGCCCCCTGAAAAAACAAATTTCCAGTAGTGATAGACTCTCTTTCAAGCCAACAAGAAAAAATACAAACATATTCTTAAGCAAATGGAAGCCTACCAACTGGTGCAGGATTGAGTCCATCCACATGGGCGATTTGGCACCAGTCACCATTTTCCGCTTCTTCTGAGAGCTCATAGCCCAATCCATCGCCAACAGGTGTGCGCTCACCATATCCGCCACATCCCCCCTGCGGTACAGCAGCTCATTGACCTGCGGGTGTGGATTTGGCGAGAAAAAACGGCCCCCCCTCTTTGGGGCTGGGTTGAACATATTTTTCGGAGACCTGGACCTTCAAACTACCCTTGCAAATGTTGAATTTTGACAAATTGTTGGGGAGCATACCATTTCTAGCCTGGATCTTCCAAATCATGAAAATTCCACGTAAAATCCGGAGACTACGAGTTTTTTGAGGGTCTCAGTGAAAAAACACAGAGTTTTCAAGCTCCTGGGTTTTGAGGTAAAAATCCTAGAAATTGATTGTCGCTTCTGGAAATGGTTTGCACACCTGAAACCCCTAGAAATCGCAATTATTCGGTACTTGACGGAAGGAACTCTCCAATTCAGACATATTCTGAATCAGAATCATTCACCTGAATCAGAATCGTTCACCTGAGTCAGAATTATTTATTCAGAATTCAGAATTATTCTGAATTCGGAATTATTGCCTTTGGGCGACAAATTGGCAAAACCGGAAAGCACCACACCTGAAACTCAGCGCAAAACACCCGCAAAAAGCCCGCAAACTCCCGCAAATAAAAAAAAGACGGAGTTTCCGGAGTGTGCGTAGTAAAATCAGTGGAATACCCACTCCAGTGCAGAGTTGCATAATTGCTGGGATAGTGTACAGAGTTGCACAATTGCGCGCCCAAACAACGAAAAAAAACAAGAAGACTTGAATCCAATTGCTTCCCCCAAGAACCACTCCTAGTTTTTGATGTTCACTCCTGCCTTTTGCAAGCCACTCCTGCTTTTTGATTCCTGCATTTGAAACACCTGAAACTGCAAGTTTTTAGAGGGTCTCCTGGAAATATCCCGGAGAACGGAAAAACAGAGAAATAACCCGGAGACGGATGACCCGGGAGGGTAATTTGAGGGTCAAAATACCTTTTGGGGGCAGCTGGGTGCTCCTTTTCTCTATTTGAAGGGAAATGCAGGAGGAACCTCAGCACGGCTCCATGTTCCATGCGGCTCCTTGAGGTTGCAATCCCCCATGGAGGCCCGCGCATCATCGTCATCGTCCCCCTCCAAGAAAAACCGCGAGGTACGAACCACGGCGACTGGGAGCTTGTGGTTCCTCTGGGCGAGCTGGCACAAGTGCTCCGCGGCGATCTTTGTGATGCCGTAGATGTTGCCTGAAGCTAAGCACAAGAAGTTCAAGAAGGAGGGAGCACATGGATAACAACAGATCAATCATCATCCATAAGGGTTCTGGCATGGGTCAAAGAAAACTGCACATTGCCTTTTGAGCACACCCCACCTAAGAGAACCCTCATCATGGAGGCTGGGGTATTTTCTCAAGGGGGGGTTTGGACTGGGCGCCAATAGCTGGGTCTGGATAACAGCATATTCCATCCCCTTGCGGTTCCACGTTACCCATGGCAAATATCGAGAAACGGAGAAACATGTCAGTAGTTGATGGCATTGAATTAAGCTTGGCACTCAAAAGAAACTTTCGGTGACATCGCAAATCAAACCTTGGAAATGCGATGTCACAAAGTCATTTGCCCAGAAATACAAGCAACACAGTCACAGCTTGGTGTCGCCCAGTTGCGCGGAATGGGTGCGACAGTTTCTTCAATCCAGGCGCACCCCTCCAAAGCGCCACGTGGCACAGCGTGCCCGAAAGTACCTTGGCTCGACTCGTCAGGGGTGCACTAACAAAAAGCTCGAGTTATGTTAGAAATTAAATCTACCCTAAAACGACGCGATTTTAGAGAAGCACCTGAAAGATTGAGTTCTTGAAGGAACCGCCTGTCGGGCCCAGGTACTGGTGGTAGAGGTGAAGACGAAACCAGGCAGCGCGCCGTCGCCATGCTGGACCGCCAGATCCAGCAGCATCTGGGTCGCCTGGACGGGGCAAGTGATCCCAAATCTGCGATACCAAACTGGTGGGGGTCTCTATGACTTTGTCGATTGCGATAGAATTCCCCTTGTAACTTTCGTAGAAAGCGGTGATTCGCCGTTCTCTTCACCCATCGTTCTCCGAAGAAACCACACATTTTCCCTGGGGATTGGCCAACTTGTTGAAGAGAAGGACTCCGGAAGATAGAACTTACGTTATAATTTTCCAGGCCTGGATGTTCACAGCAATAAACGCCTGCTCCGTGTGCGTCGCCACATGGGGCTTGTGCAAAGTCGCCGCGTGGAAGATCTTGCCGATGCGGCGCTGTGTGAAGACTTCGGCCAAGACCTCTTTGGCCGATGGCTCGGACAAGTCCTCAGACTTCCATGACAAATAACTGGGAGTTTTGATGGTTGATCCATTGAACAAATGAGACCGACATCCCCTCCAAATCAAGGCAACAAAAAGACACGCACTGTCTTTGTTGCTTGAAGCTACAGGAACCACCCCCCCTCCCCCCAAAACAAAATTAAACTATATATAATAATAAAACTCCCCCCCCCAAAAAAAAAGAAAGAAGAAGAAAGAAAAAGAAGAAGAAGAAGAAAGACACATGCCACTGGGCTGCTGGGAGTCCAGCACCAGAGTCGTGAAGGGGCTGGCCAAGCCTGCGGTCCAACAAGAAAATGTCAAGCGAGCCACCTGCCCCGGCATTTGCCCCTGGGGGACCTAAAGGTGAAGCTTTGAACTTCGAACCCGCCCCCGCCCCTGGGGGACCCGAAAAAACATGTATGCTGAGCGGGACAAGACATACTGTTGGGTAAGAGCAGGTGGCAAGATTGCCTCCAGGGGGGTTTTCAACTTCAAGTTCACGGCGTGAAGGGAATTATGCCATTCAGGATGTAGATGTTCCAAGGGGAAACCCAGGGCCGGTGGGAAAAGAGAGCCCGCTCGGATGTTGGTCCCATTCTGAAAAGGCACCCACCATTCAAGGGTGGCCTGTGCTGAAAAGCTCGGCAAACGTGCGCCGAGGCACCCAACAAGGAAAACATGGAAGTGCACCCTCACCCGCTGTCCAACAGGAAAGCGCGGGCGGGTTTTCCGTCGAGAGCCAAGAAACGGTCCACCCCCACCACGGGGATCTCTGGAAAGTGCTCCTGATAGTGCCGGCACAAGGCTTCCCCGAGATGCCCGGCGGACCCAGTTACCAAGATGGACATGGCGCGTTCTGTTCCGTGTGGGGCTTGTCTGTGTGTTCTGAATCTTCGCGACGGTACATCTGAAAGAAAGAGCAGACTGATGCTCATTGGAAAACACATGCGAGCGCGATACACACCGTCAATCAGATGCCCAGCATGGGAGAAAAGGACATCCTTTATTGGTTGGTTGACTTTAAAGCGGAGCCCTTCCCAAAAAAAGGAACAACTGGGCAACCGGATCAACAGGATGTAATTTCCCGAAATTAGTGGTCTGTGAACAATGCAACTGTGAGTCTCAGAGGTCGGGCGAAGACCGATGGGCGTTTGGGCCCCTGACTTGGGTCGGGCTTTCCGTGACCAGCTTCGAGCCAGGCTGACGGAGGGGCCTTTGTTCGGCCCTTTCTTCATGGCCTTGGGCCCCGAAGTGGGACAAACTAGCACCCCCCACTGATTTTTCCCATGATAGTCACATGTCCACAACACATCCGCCTGGGCATGGGGATGGGAACAAACTTGTGGGAAAGCACGCCCTTCAATGACAAAACATGTTTATTTACAAAAATTGGGCAATGATGCCCTACAACAAACGGCCGATCCAGGAATCCAACCTCGGTCCCACAACCCTGCAAATAAGCAAGTGGTGAACATATTGGCCGAGTCAAAACCAGCGGTCCAGTAATTCGGACAACAATAAATGTCAATTCCAGCTTGCATCATACCAACCCTGCTTTTGCACAGAGCATGTCAAGGAGAAAACCAGCCATGGGCGTCCAACTGATTTGAAGAACATCTAAAACAACATGCTTCATCTCAGCTTCCTCTTTCCCCTGACAGCAGGGGAAGAAACACGACTGGGAGATCTGTCCTTGCTTCTGCATTGGGTCAACATGGGGTCATGACATCTGGTTCTTTACCCACCCTTTGCTCTTTTAGGGGAGGCTTGGGGCTAAGGTCACAACAAAAATCCGAGGAGTGGGTTGCCACGAAGGACATGGCCCCCATTTAGGGGATGGAGTCCAATTCCCCTACCTTCCATCTTTGCTTCTCGTTGCTTTCCTTACCCTGAAACGCAGAAGAAGAGGCTGAAAGGGAAGCAGAAGAGGCCGAAAAGGCTACAAAAGACAAACAAATCTGCAACTACCCCTCGCAATTCCATGACTTTAGTCAACGTTCAAGCCCCAAGGCAAGGAATCGTTCTTTCTTGGCTCATCATTTTAGTCAAGGGCGGCAATGTAAGATATTACCACACGTTGACCCCGTTGGGACCGTTTCCCATTAACCGAATCAAGCTGGCAGGCCTGCTCTAGCGTCACAGGGCCGTCGTCCGCCACCCCCCTTGGGAGGAATCAGCAGGATGGCTTGAAGCACGTTCATTTCTGGCCTCATTATTTTACCATGATCAAAGTCACCCCCTAAGTGGTGGGTTAAAGGGAAACAACCACATGTTCTGACTTTGATAACTCCCAGAAACAGTCAACATAATGACCCCAGTCATTTGGGGGTGTTTTGATAGGCTGGGTGGGGTGAGTTCAGGACTGGTTTCAGGTTGTTCTAGGGAAGAATTGGGAAAGAGCTGAGTCTGACGAGTGTGAGACTGAGGCAACAGTTGGTCATGCAGGTCTAAACCGAAAATCCATTAGCCCAAGTGGTATCCCCAACATCAACCCCCTCGAACCCTGGGCCCGAATTCGCCCGCCGCTCATATTCATCGTCTTTGTAGGGAACCCAGCCCCCCATACCATACGCTGATCGTTCTGACATCGATGTGCTTTCTTGAGGTTACCTGTTTCGCCTTGGATTGAAGCGAAACCAAAAGCAAGCAACACATCTGAGGTCTCTCCGTCAGTATGCCTTGGCGTGAAGAATCTAGGTTGGGTGTTACCGATACACTGTCTTTTGTCGTGCAGATAAGCGGGTTCTTGTCCAATCCAGGGAACCCTTCCTCCACCACTCAATCGTAGGAATCCATCTCCTCCCCATCGTTTCCCTACATCCTGTCTGTTCGCCGTCTCATCCGTCTGACTCTCTCATCTGGTCTAGACGTGGGTGAACAAGATGGAGAGAAGAGATGGCTAGAGGGGCTTTAGAAACAGAAAGCAACACAAAACCAACACCGGTGCACAGTTCGCATTTCATGGGACCCTTTGGGCCAGAACGTCTGGAAGTCTTGAAACTGGTTCCTTCCGGGTGGGCGTCACGGTAGTCCCCTTTTAATTGGTCTTGAAAGAAAACCAACAAGAAACCAGCCACTGGCGCTTCCCTATGTTGAGACAAACCCATGAGGTAAAAACTCCCAAGACGTGAGGGCAATGGAAACTCCTTCGGGCGATGCTTCCCTGTTCCATCTGCTGCTCCGAGATCTGAATGGGTCGCCCACCAGCGCTGCGCCAGAACGCAGCAAGTTCACGGCTTGGCGCTCGGCTGGCTCACCCATGTCATCCTGAACTAGCACCAATCGCAGCCTGCCTTGAAAGGGGCGTGTCCACTGGCAACCTCCAGCATGAAGCTTGGTCATAAAGGAGGTAGTCATTGCAACCAATTTCAGCTCGGCAACTGCACCTTGCTGGAGCGAGGAGAGTGCAGGGCACACCACTTTCTGCAAGTGCGCGAAGCCGCGAGAAGCTCGACAGCCAGCAAGTACTGAGGGGTTCATAACCATCCCTGCTGTGTGACCCCAAGTAAGGGGTCTGTTGATCATGGCACACATGAGAATGCATTTGGGGTGTAGTTGGATCCATGGGAGGTACTGTGTTTGGGGCACACTCTCAGCTTGCCTAAGAATCCCAATTTTGAGAACCTATGTGCGCATCGGACAATATACTAGTGCATCGGCTTTGCAGGTTGGGCATCGGTTTTAGGCAGTGCATATCCTAGCAACTTTGGTGGTTGTATTGTTCGGTAGTTGATCAAACATCTGGCAAATGTTTGCGTGCTTCCAAAATGGAAGTAAAGAAACCGCTGGTTTTGCCGGATTTGCTCGGGTGGAGGTCCCTCAAAAGGAGGTCCCGCTCAAATCTCACTCAGCTGACTGCCCCCAAAAAAGTCCAAACTGTTGTTTGCCATTAGACTTGCGTATAAATAAAAATTCAACCACTAGGGACCGCAGGCTTTAGTGCTCGTTTCCATTCACCAGGGCTTCCATGTTAGCTACCTATATTTTTTACCCACAGCCACTCGTCTTCCGAACAGAAAGCTGTTTTAAGGCCAGGAACTCAGGGAGTTGTTCTGGGCTCCATGTTGATCTGCACTGGGCCCCAGGGCGTCATGGCATCTGCTCCTCACGTGCCGGGAATCCGGAAGACTGTTGGATGTCCTAGTCCTAGGTAAGGCAACCAGGGTAAATAATATAATAGTATATATATATATATATCACATAATTCTTGTACGCCTATGCCATTATGCGTATGTGCGCTTGTGTTTGTTTTGAGGGAACCCATCAAGGTCGCCGAGCGAAGGCGGGTGAAACGGGAGGTGTTGAAAGGCTGTTCTGAGGGTGCCTTATCCACTGAAAAGCCATAATTACCATACTACACCCCCTTGTAGCTCATGTACCACCTAAATAGCCTAGGAGTGTGATCTCGGTCCGTGACGGCTTTCTCATCAGGGAGTGATCAATGCCGGGAGGTCACCAGGCTCAGAATGGCTAATGCCGCCACTACCATGAAGCAACCCCCATGCACAAGATACACGCTATTCCGCTGGGCTTGTGGCTTCAGATCGTGCTCTCTGGGAGAAAGAGGAACAAAGAAGAGAAACACACACACACACACTGACACAACTACGACATGAAGACTCACAATACGTGCTAACAACAAAACAACACAAAGACCTGGCTAAACAATAGCTAACAGGGCACCAAACGCACATACAAAACGCAGGCAACGAAGCAAGCAAGCAAGCGCGCAAGCAAGCGAGCAGGCAGGCAGGGAGGCAGGCAGGCGGGCAGGAGGGCAGGCACGCAAGCAAGCAAGAAAGCTAGCAAGCAAGAAAGTAGTCAAGCACGCAAGCACGCATGCACACAAACAAACGAGCACGCAAGCAAGCAAGCAAGCAAGCAAGCAGGCAAGCAGGCAAGCAGGCAGGCAAGCAGGCAAGCAAGCAAGCAAGCACGCACGCACCCACGCAAAGCAGAAAACAAGCAAGCACGCACGCACGCAAGCAAGCACGCACGCACGCAAGCAAGCACGCAAGCAGGCACGCAAGCACCCGTCCAAGCAAACAAGCAAGCACGCAAGCAAGCGGTGCGCGCATGCCAAACAGCAAGCAAGCAAGCAAGCAAGCAAGCAAGCAGGCAGGCAGGCAGGCAGGCAAGCAAGCAAGCAAGGCACCTGCGCAGACCCACGCACTCAAAAGGTCTCAAGAACGCAAGCAAGCAGGTATGCACGCACGCACGCACGCGCGCACGCAAGCAAGCAAGCAAGCAAGCAAGCAAGCAAGCAACCAAGCAACCAAGCAACCAAGCACCCACGGACGCAAGAAAGCAAGCACGCACGCACCCGCGCAGACCCACGCACTGAAAAGGTCTCAAGAAAGCAAGCAAGCAGGTATGCAAGCACACATGCATGCATGCATGCATGCATGCATGCAAGCAAGCAAGCAAGCAAGCAAGCAAGCAGGCAGGCAGGCAGGCAGGCAGGCAAGCAAGGCACCTGCGCAGACCCACGCACTCAAAAAACGCAAGCAAGCAGGTATGCACGCACGCACGCACGCACGCATGCAAGCAAGCAAGCAAGCAAGCAACCAAGCAACCAAGCACCCACGCACGCACGCACCCGCGCAGACCCACGCACTGAAAAGGTCTCAAGAAAGCAAGCAAGCAGGTATGCAAGCACACATGCATGCATGCATGCATGCATGCATGCAAGCAAGCAAGCAAGCAAGCAAGCAAGCAAGCAAGCAAGCAAGCAGGCAGGCAGGCAAGCAGGCAGGCAGGCAGGCAGGCAAGGACGCACCCGCGCAGACCCACGCACTGAAAAGGTCTCAAGAAAGCAAGCAAGCAGGCATGCAAGCACGCATGCAAGCAAGCAAACAACTCGCACAAACACAGTCT